TTCAGCTGCTCTTATACATCATTTAAGTAAAATCTCAGGAAGATCAATAGTTTTGTAGTTCGAATTTTAGTGACGTCATGTGAAAACCAGCTATACAATGTGCGTCCTTCAGGGGTGGACACGAATGCAATTCAGGCATTGCACACAGTGTTGCACCGTATTCTTGATCTTGAGCCCTTAAATAATCACGAACTGCACGGTAAATGATTTTCAAAGCACTTTTGCTGGGAAGCCATATAACAGTAACTCTCTGATAACAGCTATCAACTTGCTAGAACGAGATCCGCACCTTCAAATCAACTACCGATGACACCCTCAATTACGTAGTCACAAAAATTGCCAGGAGATTTAAAGTACAAACTATGCGATGCAACCTCGTCGAAAAACCTTATTCGCCCTTGACTGTTTTCGGTTTATTATTACAAGTTCTTGTAATGCGTGTTTTCCTACCCTAGAAGACCATTACTTCTAGATTTCCTTATGCTTGAAAAAAATTTTGTACATCAGAAAACAGTGTATGACTCTACGTGTCGCTACGTAACTTTATTCAGTTAGAGTAGTATGGTACTTCCTCAAATCCAGTTTAAATCCGTCTTTTCCTCTAGCTTCCTCTGCTATCCTTATTTTTCTAAGGATTGTATTTACATGTTCCGGCAAAAGAATTAACAAGAGATCAACAGCATGTTTGCTCAATCGGTCGTTTACAAGCTCGTGGGTAAAGCTCGAAACACAGTTTTGGAATCAGGTTCGAATGGTAGGTAATGGTTCCAATCGTTCCATTGCAGTACACTTCAAGGCCTGAAGATTGTGAAACAATATTAAACCCTGAGATGTTTCGGAGAGCCGTTGATATTATAAACCTAAGAAGCTCGACCCTTGTGGAATTCCTGAGACAGCGCGAGTAATGCGATTAGATTTTAAAGAATTTGTTGACCGACGTAATTCGAAGTTGTCATTGCCGAGTTGTATTTCTCCAGTACGTGCTTGATTAAACACCCTGTAGCAATATCACGTCATATAGGTTAAATTTACATCGTTTATGCATATTTCTGCCTGTCAATATCAGGTCGTTTTAACTTTAACTCGTATTGAATCATCCAGAGCTGTGTTCAGTAACACTTTGACGAGAAGTTCCTCCAGAAACATCCTTCGTTGCTTGAACTGTAATGTATATGTAAACTTTCAGCGCTGAAATTCTTAAGATGTTTTGGTGAGCCATAGAAAAACATTTCATGGATTGAGGTCGTGCGAAGGGTAAGCCTTTCTTCTTAACGTTTTTAAAATCGTTCATAAATATATTTTGTGCCGTTTTCGCTTTAACAATCCTCAAAAGCTCGAGCGACGGCAACTTATCACCTCAAACATCTACAATTATTTTAATGTTCTGTGGCAGATTTTTAATATTTTGTGGCTATCCGCATGGATAAAGAAAAGGGGTAAAAGAACGCCTTTGTGTGTTGCCATTTAGCTCAGTTCGATTCAACTTCTCATTTACCGGACATTTCACTTCTAATCATTTCTTTTTCGAGTAAGTGTATTTCTCCAGCTCTTTGCTTGTTGTGACTTTTGACTCGCGTTTAAATTTGTCACTATTAATGAAAACCATAAACGTAAATTACAGAAAAAAAAAGGTCATTTTTGCTGCCATAGGATTTGAAATACCCCCGATGGCAGAAAGTCAGAAGCTTTTGTTGAAAGGTTGAAAATAGAGAAATTTGTAAATAAAACAACCGGAATATGGAGAAGATACTGGAACAAAATTGATAAGGTTGACAAGCTTCAGCTCAATATAGACGGATCTCTCAATTTGATAGCATAGAAATAATTCCATAATTAAGGAAAGATGTTAACATATTTCTTTTCGTAGTGTAGAAAAAATAATTCAGTAAAGCTAGAAATGGTAAATGGACGTACCAGCATGGAAAAAAAAAATGTGTTTGTCGCAGTTTAACATTTTGCATAAATATTCTATTTACGTTTTCGCTTTTTTGTTTCTATTTCCACACAATAGTCTTAATTCAGTGATCTGTATGAATGGCAGAATTATTGTGGCTAAGTGCGTTGTTTATCGTTTTGCGGCATAATAAACTTTGCGCTTAAGTAGTTGCCAACACCTCGCATTAATATCATTTTGCTCTGTTTATAAAAGTACATTTATAAGAAGTCGATTCTGTACGTATCTGATACTCTGGGCGTAAACATTTCTATTTATTTACTTTTTGATTTCAATGTGGTACTTGCCGGTAAAGATAGCTTCGACACGGAACAGCTTTTTAAAGTGAAATTTACATAATTGAACATTGTTGCGGAAATTTGAGAAGTAGATGAAAATTAAAATTATCCTCACTTGACCCGTCGCGAGACAACGAGGTTACCCTTTCGTTTATCAAGATCAAAAGATTTCCGAGGGGAGGCGTCCCTTATTTAATTCTTTTTCCTGTGGTTCTTTACTTTCTAAATGGGCGAGGAAAATGAAATCAACAAACACGCCGGTTGTCTTGTGTTTTTAAGGACGCTCCAACACCTATTCATATGTTAATGTGGAATCTCACCTCTGGCCTCTTTTTGATGTCATTCTCACTCTCCAAATTAAGTCTATAGAGAGAGAGAGAGAGTGTGTTTGAGGACTGTATGAGCTTTGCAAAAGTGATCCGGAAATTCGGCGGTAATGATTGCAAAACTCTTCCTATTTTGCCTGTCTGTAGCGAGGCTTTCGTTAGGAGAGCTTTTTACGCATTTTGATTTATACGATGCGATCCACATTCTGTTTCTTGGAGCGTTAGGGATTTGCTTGAGATTTGTCGAGTGCGGATCATGGCACGCTAATAAGAAGGTCCGATCAAGCCTTCGTTCGCCTTCTACTCCTGGTAAAAAACGAGGGTCTGTTTCGTTCGCTGCCGGGACGAAGTTTTATCCCATACAGAGTTACACTCCGGTAGGTTAAGCGTTGTTTCACGGTAGATAAGTGGCACAGATAGTTTAATAGATGGCGTAAAAGGACAGCTATATCCCTGAGGCATTAACTTTCATCGACAGCGCGGATATCAAATTGACAGGAGAAACTTGTTCGATCATTTGTTCACAACCAGCTGGGAGTGCATTGAACATGCTGAATATATCCCGGGGCTTCTTGATACACTTTGTAAACAGACCTCCTTTCTTCTGTGTTGCAGCTAAACTGGACGATTTTACGGAACGTGAGTTCTCTGCCTGCCATGTCAGAAACGTGGAAAGCCCAGCGATCTTCTCTTAAAATTTCATTGACAACCGACGATGGTGAAGAGGTGACAGAAGGAGAAAGGTACGCGTGAAATTTTTTGTCTCAATCTCCGCAAACTTCCCGCATATGTATTCAAGGGTTTGTGTATGGGCGGAAACGGATAATTTTGGCTTAATAATAGCCGTAGAAGTCGTGTGCATTTTTAAAACTAGCGTATTTCTGGCGGATGCTCGCAGTTGACTTCATGCAGCTGTTTTTTAACACGGTGTTTTACATAAAGCCGTATCGGATAATTGCCTCAAGCTTTATGAACACACTGTGGGTTTGTTTACTCACTGTCAAAGATAGTTTTTTTGTTTTTGCATCTACCTTTATCCACGAGTTTGCTATTCAATTCCCGACTGTGACCAGGCGAGACGAACAAGCTTGCGTTTTGTTTTGCTGTGATGAAATTGAAATTACGCGCGGTTTATTGCGAAGTTTTCCTTCTCCATGCATGCATGAAGAGCGGGTTATGCATCTCATTTTCAAGAGCTCGCTACAGGAGCAACATCGGCCGTTGTCTGAAGGCTATTTTATAGTCTGTTGATCAAATGAGTGCTCAGGATATTTCAAAGGCGGCAGATATCCTAGTGCCGACGAAAGCGAGATCAATTGGTCACAGTCGAAATTCAATCTTGCACGCGCAAATCGCGAACGAGCGGAGATCTCAAGATTTTTCATTGCCGTTTTTTCGCTCGAAATTTGTGATCTCGCAAATGTCGTTATAAATAATTCGGTTGCATTTGACAAGACTTGTTTTTCATATGAACAGGTGAGGGAAGCTGTCAAAGATTTCTCAATTTCTTTTTGTCTACCACCTACAGTACTTTAGTTTTGGTATTGATTTTCGAAAGGCGTACTTTTCTTTGTTGAAATCTTCTTATGAAACAAATTTCCGATTTCTATAGTCCAATCATATAATTTTCCCGTGAGGATCAATATATGTAAGAGATAATTTCTTCGATGGGGTGTTTTGTGCTTCAAGTAATTTATGCTTTACTTGCAATTTTCCTAAAATTTTGCGCGAGCAAAAGAACCCGGTGCACGATTTTCTTTTATTTTAAAAAGCAATTGTTATAACTCAACAGAAGTGTCTGAAATTCATTTATTGCTTTATGATGGCTTGAATTCAAAGGAAAAGGTTTTGTTTTGGCTGATATTTAGTCTGTTTGAATTCTAAATACATATTTTCAAATTAGATTTTTGTGTTTTTCTGAATTATGGACTGAAATAGATTTAAACCGCTTTTGTGAAAATTCCGAGCTGATTATGCGGTTAAATATGTTATCGTTGATTACGATTTCGCGGCGTAAAGAAGTTTACGACATAACTTACCGGTATTTTGATTATTTAATTTTAAGCGGGGTAGGGTGTGTAATTATTTTAGAGCACAGTGGCCATTCGATGCGAATAGTCACTGATGATCTATTTAACACCTGAAAATTTCAGCAGAGATCTTACTTTAAATTCAAAAAAGTGTAAATTTAATCAGTGTTTTCTATTTTTAATTTAAAATATAAATGTTGATCTTTTTTGCTATTGTGCGATGAATGTAATTTAACCATTGGCAACTGAATTGTACACATTTGCTCCTCACAAGTTAATAAGAAATAGAAAAATGGATCTGGAAAATTTTGCTCACTTTTCCAAATAATCTTTCTGGACTAATTGTTCAAGATTTTTTTTTTCATAAAATACTGAGAAAGAGATAAGAAATTGAAAATATTGGATGTGGAAAATTTTGTTCACCTTTCTAATCTTTCTTTGTTAATTGTTCAAGAATTTTTCATAAAGTAATGAGAAAGAGATGGTATAAAATCAACATAGAACTTCAGTGTAGCTAATAGTTCTGATCTGAGAACAAAATATACCAGCTGAAATTAATACTTGTAGTAAATATTGAAATGGATGCCTGTGTACACACACTGTACATTTAATTATGTTACCAGCAGGCATATGGAATTAATGGTTTTTCAAAGGATTTTTGATAGCGTTAATGAGCTTTAAAGAAGTTACATGTAGCTCTGATAGATAACACAGTCTTAAGTCTATACAATACACCATTGTTTGCAAATTTGGATTATTTGATTTTATCTGTTGATTTACATGCTACATGTACTTTTTGTGAACTAAGGCATATGAAATTGTCATTGTTACAGCTTATTAAAAAGCATTATCATGAACTAACAACTGAAGATACAATGTAGTAGACAAAATGACTGTCTATTAGGGCTCTGGTCATTCACTTAATACTCTACTGTGACTAATTATAAACGTAATTATTAAGAAAGGCTGACATTTGATGTTGTTTTAAGTGTTAATAAAATAGCCAGCTGGGTAAAAATGAAAAGGCATTGGTTTGGCATTATTATGAAAGATGTCTGATGTTAATGCAGGGGTTTCAGCAACATTTTCAAAAGGAGGGCAACTGGTTTCCCCAGGCAGGTGAAAGTATTTAAAATGAGCTTCTGTTAATAAGAAAAACTCTCCTCTAGATGGTCAAACCAGGTGGCTATAATCATCCTCACAGTCAGTCAATTTGCCCAGTGCTCAGCCATTAATGGAAGTCCTGAATATGATACCTCTTCTGGCTGATAAAAAGTACATGTAGGCAAAGGAGTTATAATGGTACGGCAGGAGTTCCCAACTCGCTGAAAGGGAAACTAAATGAATAGAAATGTTTAAGAAAGGGGGCTTGAAAATTGTAATGTGTTGGCTGTTTTTTGTCTAACAAGTAAAGTGTGGTACAAAAATGTCTGATTTTGATTTCCAGCTTGTGGGAACCTAAATGAATCTTTAGTTAAATACTTTACTGAAGATATATTACTGCACAGTCACTGAATTCCAAGACAAAACATAATAAATTTAATGTAGTTTCTCATTTACAGTACTTTATGGCTGTACTAACCACCACACTTGAAGACAGCAGGGTGTTACATTAACTTGAAGAAAGGTCAAGGGAAAATGCAAACTATTTGTAATATCAGGGTGTTTGAGATAATTAAGTGGGTTTTTTTAGGAAATGACTGAATAAGATGTGCCCAAAATAATTATCCAGGGAAATGTCTTTTGTTTGAGATAGGAAGAGTTTTTCATTAAGCAAGTTTATGAGCAGAGTTCCACTGCATGTGTTTTAATTGTTATAATACCTTTTCCCCCTTTTCAGATATTTCCCATTGCTTGTGAACATATACAACCAAACTAACCCCAGGAGGGAGTTGCATGTTTAGAATCAGGTTCCCCAGATCACATTTTGGAAATAAAAAGGAATGTAGTCATTTCATGCTTAATCTAGCTTATGATCTTTCACACTTATAACTAGAGGAGAGTAACTCTGCGAGGGTGGGGTATAAATGGCCTAAAGAAAACATTCGTAATTGAGCTGACAAAGATAAAATGTCAAGACTCTGTTGAAAGATATATAGTAAGGAAGCCACTGTGGTTAAATATATCTTTGATCTACCCTCTACTTTGTGCTATAGAATGTTCTATGAGGATGTTAGGAAGACAGTATGGAAAGATTGGATACAAGAGGGCGTATATCTAGTGGGGGTCTTGTAAACAGAATTGTATCTCATTGGTTGAAATATGAGGCTTTAATGAACAGAAGTGAATTATGGCCAGTGGTCATTTTAGCTGGTGTATTATGGTATTTTCTGAATAATTATATCTCGCTGCGATATACACTGTACATGGAGGGAGTGAAGATTAGGAGAATCTGAACTTTTCACTTCACATACCTTTTTTCCACCTCTTGGTGCTTTCATCCATTGCAAAATATAATAATATATTGGAAATTTGTCCTGCATTTGTCACCCAGGTGGTACCTTACTTCCAGCTGCCCTCTACTGGATACTAAGTACTGCCTCCCAGAGAGTTTTGCGTCTTGTCCTCCCACTGCCTCCCATCCATGGCTTGGTCTAAATTAAATTAAATTAAATTAAATTAAATTAAATTATTGTTGAGTTCTCCTCTCATGTGATAAAAGTTATGACGACAATGATGATAATCGTAAAAATTCTATTGTCAAGGTCAGAATTGGTGCGCAATCACAGGTATCCAATGTTAACTTTTTGTTACTGGATACCATTAATTGGATACCTGCATCATTCGCGTGTCAATTATGCGACATACAGTAGGTGCTAACGACGGGTTCATGCATCGCATGCATATAAGGAGTTTTGGGTGCAGTTGAGAGTTGTAAGCTGTGCATGAGAGAAGCTTAAGAATTGCTTGAGGCACAGCTGAGAGCAAGTCTTGCCTCTTGAACACTCTGTACATGTAAGTACATCTAAAACTTGACAGATGTGCATCTAAAAACATGAATCATATTTTTTATAAAATAGCAACTACATACAGTGATATACAGGAGCAAACTGTAGATTACAAAATAGGGCATGTATGTGAAATGGCACTACGGTTAGCCTAGCTAGTGCTCTGGCTGGCCTAAATAGTACTCTAGTGAGCCTAAATATCACAGACTCAGCAGTGGTTAGCTCTCAGTAATTGTAAGGGTTAACCGTAACAGACACCTCTATCCTCGTATTGATTCTTACTCGTAGTGCCATTCTGTCATTTTGTCGTATCATGTTTTAAGCATGCCCTACAAAATGCACACGGTTCAACTACACTGTAGGTATAAAACCTGAACAGTTGTTTTCCATTTTTGAAACTGATAAAACTACGTATAACAATGTTAACATAGATTTCAGACTTAGGTCTTTAAAGAGAACTCCTAAAGGTTAAGAATTTTGATTGAAAAGATATTGTTTTTGTCCTGAATTTACATGTTTACAGCTAAAATATCTGAGACCATAACAGTGTATACACCTTGAAACTGCCTCTCAAACTTGAACTTAATACAAGATCTTGGATTTATCAAAATAAGCCAAGAATAAAATCCTTATGCACAGGTGTGGCTCTTAGAATATTTTAACAGGTTATCATATTTTTTTATGAATTATATATCCTGATTTGATAAATTTATTTGTATTTCCTTGTATTAATCCATGTATAAAAAGTACTGGGATTGCTGCCAA